GCCTGTCTTTTTCTAGGCCTGTCCAAAGCTTTTGATACAGTAGACCACAACACCCGTCTTAGTAAACTAAGTTGCCTCGGTTTTTCCAAAAACGCAGCAAAATGGTTACAAAATTACCTCTTTTCTCGCACCCAAACTGTATTCACAGATGGTTGGAGGTCAAACAGTGTTAAGGTAACAAAAGGGGTTCCACAGGGTTCCATCCTCGGACCCCTTTTGTTCTCTCTTTATGTCCATGAGTTGGGCACTGACCTGGATCATTCCAGGGTAAATCTTTTTGCAGATGACACGATACTGATTACTGCTGGCCGCTCTCCGGATGACGTGATTGCTAAGCTCCAGGGTGATTTCAACAAACTACATCAGCTAGTTGCTCTTAAACTAGTCCTGAATACCTCCAAAACCAAGGTGCTATGCTTCTCACCGGGACTAAAGCAGGAAGTTATTTTTTCCCCAATTACATTCCTTAAATAATTATCAAATAGAGCAAGTCAAGATCTAAGAGTATCTTGGGGTCATCCTGGATTCAAAACTGAATTTTGAAGATCACATTGATTATATTGGTAAAAAGACAAAAAAAAATGGTTTTATGTATTGACACAAGCACTGCTTCCCCCTATGTTCCGTTTGGAATTGATAAAAGCTACCATACTGCCTCTACTTGATTACTGTGATATCGTGTATAAATCAGCCCCAAGTGCTGTACTGAGGAAGCTTGATTACATCTATCACTCGGCCTTAAGATTTATATTGAACTGCCCATATAGGACTCACCACTGTGATCTCTACATTGGGTCAAACTTATTATCTCTTAATGTTCAACGGCTTGTGCACTAGATCTTATTTATTCACGATGTACTTACAACAAAATCCGCAGACTACCTGCTGGATCTCCTCTCTGTTTCAAAGAACAAATTTGATCTCAGGTCTTCGCTCATTTACCAGCTTCACGTTCCCTATTGCCGTACAAAAACTGAAGGAAGGGTCTTTGCTATTGATGCCCCCAGGGTCTGAAATGTTATTGCCAATAAACTGCAACTTGAATCTCTACCAATGAGATCTTCTCTCAACACTGCTCTAGAGGAGTTGTACACCCCTAGCTGCCACTGCTATTCATTGGCGTAAAATAAAATAAAATGTTTCGCTCCGGATGACGCTGCAAAGTATTATCTGTATTTTGATTTAGCGTGCTGATCTGAAAGGTGCATTGAAAAATGTGATACTCCGACCGATGCTTCTGTTGTTTTGGAGTAACTCATGCAGTCAGCTATGGCTCTAGGATTTGGTGTTACATGTTATTTATGTAGTTTATTGTAAAAATTCGGTCACAGTCCCTGTGATCACTATTACGTTGCAATTCTGGCTTAATTTGTTGGTGATTTGGAAAACGTTTTCTGGTTTGGACATGTTTGTACGGAGTTGGCCTTAATCTAAGTTTTCTTGTGGTTGTTGTTGTTGTTGTTGTTTGACTTGCACCCCACTGGGATTCTTTGCACACAGCGTTGGTGCACGGTGCTTTTTTCAGGAATATTTTGCTGTTTTTTTCATGGATTTTCCGTTTGCACAGTCACATAGTCACTTTAAGATGTTTTTCTTGTTCGTGTTTTTTTGTTTGTTGTGGTTGCACCCGATTCAAGAGCCGAATGGCTCACAGGGCTATACCAAAATAAATAAACTGATGAAAAAAAACTGAACCCCCCTCCCCTCCCCCCCTCAGCGCTGTTGGCGAGCGCCTATTAAGGCCGACACGACACGGAAGGATGAGAAGGGTGGCCTGGTCAGCACCGCGCCCACGCTGCTGCACCTTCACCCGTCGGCCCTAAAATCACCCATCTCAAACAACAAATATCCACAAGGGATACACAGTTTAAGCCGAGTGGACTTAGGGTATGCCAGATACAGGTTTATATTTTTTTTGCACCATGACCTGCAATGGCAACTCAATCCAGCAGTGGAAGGGGCCTCAATCCAGCAAGTGGATTTTGTTGTTGTTTTGTTTTAACCAACAGGGCCATCTGCGCAGGTCCGCGTGTATCCCACGGTGGGGCGCAAGTTGCCCGTTGCATTGTGCCGACAGACCTCGACCACCTGAGTTACATTCTCGGCCACGGACAACCGTCGGTTCGTGATGAGTTAATCATTTCAGCCGGAGCTGTCCGGAGCCGAGCTCCGGAAAATAATGTTGTCCCACTCCTCTAGCGCCCCGATATGTGGATGAGTTAAATCTCAACCGAGCCCCCTCCACAGTCCCTCTCTGTCAGTATAATCACGATGTGTCTGTCTTGCGATTTGTAAACATGTCGTATTATCACGCAATCACAGGTAAGGCATGCGATAGGGGTCACCTGCATGCACAGGTGAGTAGGCTATGTCTGAGGTCATAATATGATAATGTGATAACAAGGCAAAGCTCTCCAAAGGCCCCCCCCCAAACACCCCCCCACCACGCCCACAAAACGACCTCCATTTACGTATACGACCGCCTCTACTATATTGCTTTTAAAATATCATTATTGCTGAGTTTGCGAGCTTTTGCGAAGCACAGCAGCTCACAGCACAACGCATCACACACAGGACACTCGTCAAACACAAATGAATATATATAGAGAGAGATATTACTGAACTGAACACACGAATCTCGTGTGTTGGGTTATTGTCCGCTTTGTCGTTTCCCCCCCCCCCATCCCCCTCCGGGCAATAAGACGCTCCGGAGAAGGAGGTAAGATGAAATTCTCCACAACGTGACGTCCCGGTAACAATTAAGCATGTACACGTGTCGGGTGCCTCGCATGCGTTAAACTATAAGGGTCGGGGTGGGGGTGGTGGTGGGGTGATAGGTGCGTCTTATAATGTGGAGAATACAGTGATTTAAAAAAAACACAAACAATGATTATGATAATAATGGCATCGTTTGACATGGAGGGGAACACAAATCCCGATACTGAGTCTCAGGGCTCGGTTTCAGGAGGGTTTATGCCTGGGGAGTTTGGCCACATTTTTATTTTGTGTGCGTCTCTAAGAGAGTTCAGTTGAGTTTCTACTATTGATTTACACATTGCACCGTCCGGTGCGAAATCCGAACGTCCGGGGAAACCCGCCTGCAAACGACGGGGGCGGGGGCACTCCAACAAACACCGCTCACATTCATTCAGCGTCCTACTTGCGGTACTAAAACACCAAGAGGCGTCCCGTTGTGTTGTTTTTTTTTTGCGGTCGGGGTAATCTCCTCGTGATCCACCAACCCCAACCGGGAGGTGACGCGTGACTTGCCACGTGGAACGGTGAATTGCGTGGCTATTAACAGCTCAAAGGTAAAATACCGTGAGCAATAATCGTTATACGCGACTAATTCACACACACACCAGCCGTGTTGTGTCCTCATGTCCACTTAAATATTGCACATACAGTATAGAAATCTACACATTCTCACGAATGGTCCACATTGCATAGCCCCCCACCCCCCCCCCCCCGGGGGCTTAACGTCATCCAACTCTGCAGAACAATATTCCTCCCGCACCCGGCACACCGCATCCAGTATGCAGCTCGCTATCGGCTGTGTGATTCGAGGCACGTGTCCAGCCATCCTCAAGTCTACCGGCGACACGGGAAATATTCCGTATCTCTGTTAGCGCGAGCACCTTTTAAGGCTGACGACGGACACAGCGTGAAGGTAGCGGAGGGAGCAGCGCCACTCACGACCGCCCGCCGGTCTTTCCGTCTCCTCTAAAGCGCTAAAACTAACGGAACTCACTTTTAGGCTGAGTCGACCTAGAAGAGGGCACAGGTCAGCCCAAGTAACACATAGCACTTGATGTGCACTGCCAGAGACAACCGTTCACCGGCTGTTGCATTCAGGTCACGTTGGTTTGTTAACGGGGTGAGAACTCAAGGTCAAGGGGTCATTCCGGCCGATGCCGTCGATGCCAGGACACCTCGCCATCGCTTCTTTCCTTCTGCCAGCTTCTGAAGATATAGCTTCAAGCAGAAACGGAAAAACTACGGTGATTGCGATTCGCACGATTGCCTACGCACCTCCGATTAGCACCGTTGGCTACGTACGGTGCGAAAGAAGTTCAAAATACATACACACATTTCCTGCTGCAGATGCAGCTTTTCTCTGGTTTACAACCAGCCGTGGAAGTTCGCCATTACTATGGCGGGAAGCGAGTCTATCCATAGGATAGCAGCAGCATCACCACATATACTGGATGATAGACATCGTAGAAGCACGTATACATTTTTAAGCTTTCTATAGATTTTTTTTTCCAAAAACATAGTTCGTCGTAATAAATGGCCCTCGTTCAAATAAAATCGTGATGTCTGGAAACCCGGGACTTCAGAATGAACCCAGAGGCGCTCATAGTGACTTGTCATATTCCATTAATGCGACGTCCAATCATCTTCATAGCGATTTGTTAATCGTTCTGATTTACATAAGTTGATTATTAGTGTGAGTATAGCAGTGTTTACCGCGTCATAGGATGACAATCCGACGTCTGGTTAAGTAAAACATCGAGAACACGTGTCTCTGTGAGCTGTGGGCGAGTAGGTGCGTGTCTGTGTGTGTGGGGAGCGGTAGTGTCGCGGTTAGCGCGCTGCGCTACGAACCTGGCGACCCGAGTTCGAATCCAGCTCACGTCCAACACCAGTGACGATTATCTGAACCGGTCTCGGGCCTCCCCTAGTTCGATTCAGCCTCAAAAGAGTACCTGGTGCGGTGTGTAAACATCGCCACTAGGGAGACAAAGGCGGTCGGGGGTAGTGCTTACCACCCACCCCCTCGTGTACCGTTCCGGCCTTCATAGGTGCTCGCAAACAGCACTTGCCCCGACAGTCTGTTACAGGCTATACAGGAGAAATTGCTATTTTGTGTGATCCAATGGGGTCAGTAGACATGTATCACCTTGATTAATAAAAAAAAAATGTGTTGGGGGGGGGGGGGGGTTGGCTTAGATCTCGCAAGTAAATTGTGTTGTCGTTAAGAGCGCAGATGTGGGGGGGGGGGGGGGTGCAAAGGAGCGAAGGAGGGGTTCGCGCTCTGTGCTGCAAACCCGGCGAGCCGCCTTCGATTCTCGCTCACGGTCAACATCGGCGACGAACACGGTGGACTCGGCCTTTTACAAATCAGTGTCTGGTGCCGTGAGTAAACACCAGCACTGGGGAGACAAAGGCGACTGGCCGTGGTGCTGGCCACCGCTGCCCTTCTGTTCGCCGCATTTCCCTTAAGAGGTGCCCGCTAACGGCACTTTAACAACGAGCAGTCAGCGAAGACTCCACGGAGGATTGACTTTGTCTGTTGGCGTGGTGGGCTGGTGGGCGGTGTGCAACGGTAGCGAGATGTTAATTGCCTCGCCTGGTCTACAAGAGGTCGTGGGTTCAGATCCGGACCCTGACGCCTTTTGTGTATTTGGAGTTTGCATGTTTCTCACTCTCCACGTTGGGCTCGTGGATTGCATCTCTGGGTCCTCCTCCGGTAATTTTCCCTTCACATTTAGAATGAACAACAGGAATTTGACTGCGATGCAATTCCCACGTGATGACGAGCCACTTCGTTGAGCTGTCGTTTGTGATGGGCAGGTCGCTTCTGAAAAAGAGCTACTACATAGCTCAGTGGGTCTTACCAGGTAAAATAAAAAAATTAGTTTAGTTTAATAGTTGCTTTTTTAACAGATGGTTGTCTTTGTCTGTTGTGGGGGTGGCGGGGGGGGCTGGTGGTGTGTGGCGGTCCGGGGATTTCTCGGAGATCGGATCATGTCTCCAGCCTCTGCTCTTCCCAGGAGGAGGTGGCCATCTCGCTGTAGGGGTCCAGCACCACCTTGACGCACTTGACGATCATGATGAGGAGGAAGAGGCAGAGCAGTGAGAGGAAGGCGAAGGCGAGGCCCTTGTCGAGATCGATGGGCGGCAGCTCCGCGCCAGGTCGCGAGTCCATCCCCATGGACCCTCACCACCACCGCCCTCCACTCAACCCACGTGCTCGACCACCTCCGCCTGCGGCCGTCAGCGAAGCGTAGGAGCAACAACAAGCACAGGGTGACTCGTAGTGGTGGCGTTTGCTGAGCGTGGTGATGGTGGAGTTTGCTGGGAGTGGTGGTGGTGGTGGTGGAATTTGATGGACGTGGTGGTGGTTGAGTTTGTTGGGAGTGGTGGTGGTGGAGTTTCCTGGGCATGGTGGTGGTGGAGTTTGCTGGGCGTGGTGGTGGTGGAGTTTGCTGGGAGTGGCGGAGTTTGCTGGGAGTGGTGGTGGTGGCGTTTGCTGAGCGTGGTGATGGTGGAGTTTGCTGGGAATGGTGGTGGTGGTTGAGTTTGTTGGGAGTGGTGGTGGTGGTGGTGGTGGAGTTTGCTGGGCGTGGTGGTGATGGAGTTTGTTGGGAGTGGTGGTGGTGGTGGTGGTGGAGGAGTTTGCTGGGCGTGGTGGTGGTGGAGTTTGCTGGGAGTGGTGGTGGTGGAGTTTGCTGGGCGTGGTGGTGGTGGAGTTTGCTGGGAGTGGTGGAGTTTGCTGGGAGTGGTGGTGGTGGTGGAGTTTCCTGGGCGTGGTGGTGGTGGAGTTTGCTGGGAGTCAGTTTAACACGTAAGCTTTCGCGACCAATATTATTCATAATAAAGGTTTTTGGGTTAGATCGCGTTATTTATAAATGTGTCACAACCCTCCACAACCCGACACGGCCAATCAGTAAAAAGTGTCACGTTGACAAAAGACAAATAGTTCACTACTTTAGCCCACCGGTGTGTTGAAGAGTGAATCCACAACATTTACAGTTTGAGTACGCCGTTTCGCTGGTAATGACATCCAGCATCATCGGGCAATTCGCCAGAATGGCAAAGCCCTCACTTGCTCCCGGTCTTAAATGAGCAGCAGGGTGACGTCATCATTTAACTCATTCAGGTGCAGTGATTTGAGGTGGAGGGGGGGGTATTGTAATTATATAATCGATTGGTAATCAGTCAATGGTTATGATTAGTAATGAGTTGTAGATTAGTAATTCGTTGTAATGTGTGTTATTGTGATTATATGCTACGTTAGTAATCCGTTAATTAGTATATGTTTCCCCTATAAAGAATTGTAATATGTATTATTTAATGATACGCTTCCAAGCCGCACTTAGCCTGTAGCTGTCAGAGCAATTAAAGTTATTTCGATTTCTCTCAATTTCAATTGTTTCTCTAATTAGTCTTTGCCAGTAATAATTAGTTTACACAACACTTCAACGTTATCAAAATCAATTGAGTGTCCTTGTTGACAAGCATGTTCTGCCACTGCCGACAATTGTGTTTGAGATAATTTAATATTTCTTTGGTGTTCTTTTAGTCTTATGCTGATGTTACATCCCGTCTGTCCAATATAGCATCTGCCACATAAACAATTCATCCGATATATACACCTTCTGTTGATAATTTAGGTAATTCGTCTTTAGTGCAAGATACTCGTTTTTTTTTATTTTGTGTACTGTACCAAATCTTACTGTAATGTTTTGCTTTTGCAAAACACGGGCTAATTTGTCAGTTACTCCTGAGATATATGGAACTTTTATTGTTTTAACAATCTGATCGCTTTCAGCAGTGTTGCTTTGCGATCGTGATTTGGCATTCAGTGCTCTGTTAATTTGAGTATTATTGTAGCCATTCTGTCGTAATGCTTCCTTAACGTGTTTGCTGGGAGTGGTGGTGGAGTTTGCTAGGAGTGGTGGTGGAGTTTGCTGTGCGTGGTAGTGGTGGAGTTTGCTGGGAGTGGTGGTGGAGTTTTCTGGGTGTGGTAGTGGTGGAGTTTGCTGGGTGTGGTAGTGGTGGAGTTTGTTAGGAGCGGTGGTGGAGTTTTCTGGGAGTGGTGGTGGTGATGGTGGTGGTGGTTCGTGGTAGTTGTAGGGTGGTGGTAATAATAATGGTGGTGGTGGTTGTATGAGTTGGTGGTCTGTGATGTTGGTGATGGTGGTGGGATTTTGTAACGCCAACAAATTCTGGTGATGGAATGCGTCGGTGGTGATATGGTGTGATACGAATCGGTGGTAGTCGTTTGGGTTGGTGGGAATGCCAGTGTGATATTATGATGTGGTATGGTGCTGGTGGTGGTGGGATGGCTTGAGGTTCGTCTGTCGTGGCAGTGGTAATTTCTCCAAATACTCCGTTTCTCTCTAACAACACAATAACAACGACAACAATCTACCTCCTCAATGAAGAATCCAACAGTTACAAACAGGACCCTTCCAAAACAATACTATTGAGCGACTCGGTGAGGCTTCCGTGGGTAAATAGAGGACTTATGATGACTTAAAGCTTTCGTGACTGCAGGAATTCATATCCTTGGATCTTTCAGTAAAGTCACGTACATCGGTTCAAAGAAAATAATAAAAATAACAAAAAAACTACGACGTTTCGATCGCAACACAAGCAATCGTCATCAGGAGAAAAAAGAGCGGGAAAGCTGCTGAGGCAGGCTGTTTTAAAGGGTTGAACTTATAAATCAGGTTATCTTTGCATTTAGCTGGCATTGAGGTGGCTGAAGAGGCTGTCATGTTGTCGACATGTTCCCAATCAGATGTAGACATTTTTTTCCGTCAATGTTAAGCGTGATTTCAGGAGAGTCTTGTCTAAATTGTCTCGTTCAAATCGGAGCGATCTAATTCTCTCTGAGATCAGGGCTAGGCCAGCACTGAGCAAGATCCGTTTAGCATTGGGAGAAGTGACAGCAGCAGATGTCAGTGTAAAGGCAAAACACAGCCTGCCTCAGCAGCTTTCCCGCGCTTTTTTCTCCTGATGACGATTGCTTGTGTTGCGATCGAAACGTCGTCGTTTTTTGTTATTTTTGTTAGGGGCCGTCCATAAATGACGTCACGCGATTTTGGACGATTTTTTACCCCCCCCCCCCTCGTCACACGGCGTCACAAAAAGTCAGACCCCCCCTCAAATATGACGTCACAAAGCTCTGCCACCCCCCCCCCCCCCAAAACCACATTTCCATTTTGAAAATAAAACATGCTTCAAATCGCTTTAAACTATTGTCATTGTAGTGCGTATTTAATGTGGCGCTGCATTCTGATGTTGTAGGAGTGTTGTTATAACAATTAGTGTTGTTAAAACAATTCTATATTTATTTAAAGTTGCGCATTTTGATGTGACGCCACATTTATCAAACCCCCCTCCCCCCCTCGTCACGCATCGTCAAAAATGTCTGACCCTCCACCCCCCTAGGTGCGTGACGTCATTAATGGACGGCCCCTTATATGATTACATTTGTACTGAAATGGGAGAGAACGGAGCGAACGGCATCGCGTTCGTTGCCGATTCCCGACCGCGGAAGCTTCGATTCGCTCAAAGAGAATCGTCGAGTGAAGCATCCGTACTCGATTCAGGTCGGCTGACACTGAAGACTTGAACCATCACCCACCCACGAATGCGCTCCTCGTTTGTCGCTCTAACTGCGTGGGTACAATGAGTGACTCTGCTGGGTCACCCCCTCCGAACCCTCTCTTGTCGCCCCTGGGCAGTGTTTTGTACTCCTCGGAAACACGTGGAAACTCGCTCACGGCTCTTGGAGGGGGCTATATTTTTTCCTTTCGTAAAATGTCTTTTTCACGCGCAACGTTCTGCTGACAAAAACGACGTTTCTCAAGAATCGCGCCCTTCTATTGGCACTCTCGATATTCCTCTCTCACTGCGATTTCGCGAAAGATGAATGCAAGTCCTATCGTTATGAATTCATAGAGACGTGGTCAATCCTCTGCTGGATGAAGGCCTACCCAGATTTAACGATGCCCCACGTGAATTGTAATACGCTTGCGAATAATCCAACCCTGGCTCTATCACAATCACATCTTGAATGCTGAAGTTAATCTTTAAGCATATATACTTAAAAACATATGGACATCATTACGCCAATCTACGGCTAGGTGAGGGCCTCTCTTTTCTTGGAAGTTCATTAACCGATGCTTCACCACGCGAGTCCGAACCGGGTAGGCGATGGGACCGGTTCGGATATCACTCGCCGCTGATGTTAGCCGTGGCCGGGAATTGAACCCAGGTCGCCGGGTTCGTAGCACGTAGTGCGCTAACCGCTGCGCTACAGCTACCAACAAAGGCGAAGATCTACCGCTGAGCGCGAGTGGTGATCGCGAGCGCCGATGAATGCCAACGCGGCACACCAGAAGGCTGGGTGGGCAGAACCGCGCGTTGGCCGCTGCTTACAAACCGCATCAGATATACCCATTTAAGGCTGAGTCGACCTACGGGTGGCCCAGGATCGTTTCAGATATCGCTCGCCACCGATGGTAGCCGTGGCCGGGGACTCAAACTCAGGTGGCCAGGTTCACAGCGCAGTGTGATAACCACTGCGCCATAGAGCCACTTAGCCCATGAGGGATGGTCGGTAGCACCTGGGTGGCATCTAATACCAGTCCCCACCACGTCCAGTGGCTACCATGGGGACAGCTTAGAGCGCATCCTGCTTGTTGCGTGTAGGCATGCACAGTTCCCCTCTATTCTCATATTTCGCTGATGTTTCACGACACACAGTTTGTTTATTTCCAACACGAGAGTCTCTATCGTGCATACTACGATACCCTTTTTTTAACATCAGCTTTTCTCGTACACAGTCTACCACAGCGACCTTGCTGTCATATGTCTCTGTGATATAGAGGTGGAATGCTTAAAGAAAACCATTGTTAGCTTTTTTTTGCCGACATGTGTGGTACCCGATAAATATTTTCGGGCCAATAGCTCAACAACCAACTACTATTATACGTCATAATTCACAACGCAGTCAATCAATACTCGATGATGGTGATTTCTGCTGCTGATGCTGCGTGTGGGCGGTGGCATACCGAGCAGGGACGAATCTGCAGAACGACCCACGGCGTGAGACGGGAGTGAAGAGAGGAAGAGGATGAGGAGGAGGGGGGACTGCGTTAACGCCTCGGAGGCACCAACACCACCACCACCGCCACAACTCTGGTTGAGTACGCACCTGCACAAGGAATACAAATGTCGGGATAGTCTTGCGAGGAGACCCGACACACGGATAAGAGGGAGGGAGGGGGCAGGAGGACTTTTCCACGCAGTCGGGAATGAGAGATGTGAGACACAGAGAGAGAGACAGCCAGACAGAGAGAGAGACACACACACAGATGCAGAGAGAGAGACAGAGAGAAAGACACACACACATAGACGCAACGATAGAGAGACACACACGGATAGAGAGAGACAGAGAGACACACACACAAGCACAGAGAGAAAGACACAGAGAGAGAGACACACACAATGAGAGCGACAGAGAAAGAGACACACAGAGAGAGACACGCAGAGAGGGGGGAAAGGGGGGCGCAGGGAGATTATTGGATTTGCAATGAACTCGCTGGCTGGTCCACTCAATAAGTGATGTTCATTCAAAACAAAAAACATAGATTCGGAAATTCAAATCGAGTTAGATGCAAATTAAAATTGATTGGACATGTAACAAACGAAATTGCCCATTTAAATGTGTGCACGTGGCATCTGTAGCCCCTGTCAATCTACTGCTAGATGAGAGTCTTCCCCCACGCCCTAATGGGTCTTCGGGCTTGTCTGCCTATAACCTCACCACACTTATTGGTCAGTGCGGGTTGGTAAAGGCGGCAGCGTAGACGCGCGAGCCTAGTAACCCAGCAGAGTACCGTACAACTACGGGGCGAAGTGCACACTGCCTTCTGTTGACCAACACAGAGCTCAGCCACGCAGCCGCCTTTTGTCAGCCGTGGCGTCCGTGGTGGTCACCCATCCAAGCAAGATCCAAGCTCGAACCCCGCTAAGCTTCCTGTGAAGGTTTTGCTGGCGGGTGTGAGGAGTTGGGATTTGGGGTCTGGGATGTGGAGACTTTAATTGACTCGTTTCTCTGCCATGATAAATTTTGAGACGAAGCTCAAAAGAAAGCTGTCTCTGGTGTGGAGCAATCAGTTTCAAGGACAATGCATATATTTTCAGAGTATTTTTTTGTTTGCATTCTGGCCACAAGTATTGTGGTTAATGCAGACATGATTCCTTGTAAAAAGGTTTCAGTTTGGTGTTTGAACATCTTAACCCCTGTTTTGTCGCCAGAAAAAAAAAGGGGAACACTTATTTTTATTTATTGTTGTTTGTGTTTCTTTTGTGTTGGTGCGCTTTGGTTTATTATAACATTTTCTGAAGGTGTGTCATTTGCTTGGTAGTTGCTATAAATAGGATTGGGCTCAAATATATAATGAACGTACAGATTTGTGGGATGAAATTGGCATGGCTTACGCTTTGTTAAAGCAAATTAATATTAGTAGAAATAGTAAACTTACCCGATCATTCGCATTCCAATCAGAGCAAATTCCATTGTTTCGCTTTATTTGGCTACATGCATTCAGAACGCACTGAATAACAACAACAACAACAACTTTTATTATGACCAAGGAAAGCAACATTGAGTATCAAGACTTTTGTCCCCCTCTTTCCAAGGGGGGGGGGGGGGTCCTGCTCCGTTGAGATGTTTGGCCAAGTCCATTGGAAGTCGTAGATCCCGGGGAAAACCCACCACGCATAAAAGAGGGGATGACTTTCGGCACTGGGAACTTTGCACTTTGAAATCTGGATTGAAAACTCATTTGTAATAGAACTACGTCTTTGTGTTTAGCTTGTTGTCCTTCCCACCTCGGATGAGCACGGTTGGCTGCGTACGGTGCGAAAGAAGTTTCAACGCCCGTGCATACATGCAATACATTGCAAGTTGCTGACCACACCTCACAGCCATACGCCTACAACACCTGGCAAGCCCCCCCGTGGCGGTCACCCATCCGGGTACTAACCAGGCTCAACTTCTGTGCAGGCGTCTGAGACCCGAGGAAGCGATTGTAGTGGTAAGGTTGCACGCGCGGAGAGAGAGAGAGGGAGAGAGGAGCCTCTTGCAGGACTTTACTTGTCATTGGCATCGGCAGAATAATTTATCCTGCTCGTAATTGGAAACTCAGCGAGGGTTGAATAGATAATTAAGAAGTTATTATTATTATGTGTGTGTGTCTGTGTATCTATTTGTTCGCGCGAGTGTACGGGTACAGCGGTGTCTTCGTGTGTGCGTCCGTGCGTGTATGCAAGTTCACGATTATTCGAACCGGCTCTGGGCCTCCCCTGGGTCGACTCAGCCTCAAATGACCATCTGGTGCGGGTATGTAAACATCGCCACTGGGGAGACAAAGGCGACCGGGCGGGGGGTGCTGGCCACCCACCCCCTCGTGTGCCGTGCCGGCCTTCATAGGTGCTCGCACACATAGCACTTGCCCCAATAGTCTATTAAGGGTATACGGGTCATCTGTCTTTGCAAGTGCACCTAGCCTGGCACAACCGCCGTGGTGACGTAACGCCACTCAGTGGCGAACGGCGGTTGTTGTTGGTGTTGTTGGTGGTGGGAAGTCTGAACACATCCGTCGACAACATTGCGGCCTTAAAAAGGGAAACAAAAAGTATATACGAGGCGACGTTTCAAGCAACAGCCCTTCATATACGTTGCTGTGAACAAGGGCCATCGCCCCAAAACGTCGTAGACCGTATACTTTCCTCTTAAAGTTTGAAAGTTGTTGACGAGTGTGTTTAGAGTGTTTTTTTATTCGTTCGTGTGTGCACCACTGCCAACGCTGCAGCGGCATCAGCAAACAAGCGATTTGTTGGGGAGGTCTGCGCGTCTCTGAATGTCTCCTTGTGTGTTTGTTTATCTTATCTCATTGCATATTTATAGAGCGCCCTTAGGTGCGTAGATCTCTGTGTGTATCCGTCAGTTCGCGCACGGGCGCGAGCGCCTATGTATATCTGTATGTGTATCTGTGTGTGTATCACAGCACTTGCCCCCACAATAAAGTTAAGGCTATACGGGGAATCTTTGTCTTTTATATGGAAGCGGTAGTGTAGTGGTCAGCGCGCTCGCGCTACGAAACCCCGGCGACCCGGGTTCGATTCCCGCTCACGGCACAACACCAGTGGCGATTATTATCTGAACCCGTCCTGGGCCTCCCCTAGGTCGACTCAGCCTCAAATTAGTCCTTGGTGCGGTGTGTAAAAATATCGGGGAGACAAAGGCGGCCCTGCGTGGTGCTGGCCACCCACCCCCTCGTGTGCCGGCCTTCCATAGGTGCTCGCGAACAGCACTTGCCCCTACAGTCTGTTAAGGCTATAACGGGAGGGGGGGGGTCTTTGTATTTGCCATGAGTTGATGCATATCTTTCTGTATTCATTTAATAGGAAAATGCAATTATCTACGTGAACATATTTTGAAGAAGTTACATGTGTGTATGCGTAACTGTGCGTTTTCATGCGTTTATCTCTATGTCTGCGTGTCTGAATCTCGCGTATGGGGGAGCTGTGGGGCAGTGGTTAGCGCTACGCTGCACTACGAAGCCAGCTACCTGAGTTCGATTCCAGCTCACGGCCAACGCCAGTGACGATTATCTGAACCGGTCCTATGCCTCCCGTAGGTCGACTCAGCCTCAAATGAGTACCTGGTGCGACGTGTAAGCATCGACACTGAGAAGACAAAGGCGGTCGAGCGTGGTGCTGGCCACCCACCCCCTCGTGTGCCGTGCCGGCCCTTCACAGATGCTACTCGCTAACAGCACTATATTTATCTGTGTATGCGCGTCTGTGTGTTTGTCGATTTGTGTGTCTCTGCACCTTGTACCTCAAGGTGCACCTAGCCTGGCACATGCGCTGCGTTGACCGGCGCCTATTGTTGTTGTGTATCAGCATCCGAGACTGGGCAAATCGCAAGGAAAGCACGCGCACTGCCCACGTGTGGACGTGTCGGGTGAATAATGCCGACGCGCGATGAGACCCTTCATCCAGCAGTGGATTGATCATGCCTGATGCTGATGATGATGTTTCTCTGCGTATAGCTGCGAGGCAGAGTTATTCACTTGCAACCAGGGGCAAAGTCATGACATTGAACTGCCTTTTTATAAACCCTCTTCTTCCCACTCTCCCCACTGGCTCTCTCCACCCCCTCTTTCTCACCCCCCCCCCCCCTCAACCAACCCCCTCTCCCCCCCTCTCTCCACCCCGCCCCCCCTCTCTCCACCCACCACCCTTTCTCTCACTCCTCTCTCTTTCAACCCCCTCTCTCTTTCCACCCCCTCTCTCTCTCCCCCCCCATCTCCCCCCCCCCCTCTCTCAACCCCCCATCTCCCCCCCCTCTCTCAACCCCCTCTCTCCCCCCTCTCTCACCCCACCCCCCTCTCTCTCCACCCCCCCTCTCTCCACCTCCCCCATCTCTCGCCGTGGGGTGTGGGCTATGCTATAGACTCCGAGGCAGCTGTTATTACCAATATTAGAGTTAAGTGTAATCACGCACGCATGCTTTATTTTTATTTCAAACAGTCTCAATGATGTATGCTCCAGAGTGCTCAGAGCGCCCAAGCGTATACTGGATGTGTGCGCGTGTGTGCATGTACGTGAGTTTGTGTGGGGAGCGGTGGTGCAGCGGTTAGCGCGCAGCGCTTCGAAGCGGGCGATCCAAAGTTCGATTCCCGCTCACGGCCAACACTGGTGACGATTATTGGAGCCGGTGCTGGGCCTCCCCAGGTCAACTCAGCCTCAAATTATTAGTTGGTGCGTTGTGTAAAAGCATCGCTACCGGGGAGACAAAGGCGGTCGGGCGTGGTGCTGGCCACCCACCCCCTCGTGTCGCGTTCCGGCCTTCACAGGTGTTCGATGACGTCGTGGTGATCGCAATGTCTTACAAAGCTGGTGATCTGCGTTCGATTTCATCTCACGACCAACATTGGTGAAGAATATTTGCACCGGTCCTGACCCTCCCCTATGTTGACTCGATCTTAAATTATTAGCTGATTCCGTAAGCTAAAAAAACATGATAATTTGGCAGATAAATGTGTCCGGATGGGTGCCGCCAACAGCACTTGCTCCAAAAGTATGCTGAAGTCTACATGGGGGATCTTTGTCTTTGTATGCATGTGTGCTTCTGCACAGCGTGAATGCAAACAAAACTAAATGTACAGCTGTTTTGCCAATCCACTGCTAGATGAGAGACCTCCCCACGCCATTATTCCAGTTTATGGGGGTTGTTGGAACATACTTCGCCACGCTGGTCAAGCGAGATGGTCGTGTTGGGGGGGGGGGGTGAGGGTGGTCGGGG